CCCCCCCCCCCCCAAAAAAAAACGAGAAAAAAGTGGGCACTAACCGAAAAAAGTATTAATTAATTCCATGTTAAGGCAGAAGTAGCGGTGGAAGATACGCATGAATATTGCGAATTGCTTAGCACATTGGAAAGTGAATATCAACAGCTGCGCGATCTATCAGCTGGACGCATGCTTGACTTGGATACTCTAATCGCTTTCATTCGTGGTGCACAGCAGGAAATCGTTTGGATCAACGAGCGAGAGGATATTGAGGTTTCACGAAATTGGTCCGATATCAGTCAACTCGATCTGCCAATGCTTCAGAATTACTACAAACAGGTGCGAAAAGCTACTGTTTAATGAAGATGGGATAAATTTTCACGAGTTTACATCATGTTGAGTTCATGTGGTATTTTTCTTAGCATTCTGCTGACTTGGTAAAAATTTTCACTGAAGAATTATTCCCCTTCACAATTTCTATCTCACCTCCATCTTTGTCTTCTCTTTGGTGTTAGTACGAAGTTTTTATAGCTGCCTTCAGGAAATATCCGGCAACTTTTTTGTCGCAAGGTTATTTGTCTTTCAAATGTCAAAAAAATCATGTTTTAGCTTTATTTCGAAACAGTCGAGGCTGTTTACTTCTCACCTTTATTTTTTTTCATATAGATTTGGAGGGTAGTGGATAAAGCATTGGTATCTTTATCCAGTTTTAAGGGGGGCATTCCCTTAAAGTTTCAGCTTTCTAGCTTTTCTGGTTCTCGAGTTAGGAAATTTTTTTATAAAGATTTGTAAGAGGTGGCTTGACATAAGCGAATAAAATAGGAACAGGGTAGTATAGCTGCATTATTTCGGAATTCTGCAAATCTGATGAGACCTGAATATTTATTCTGAGTGGAGTTTCAGCTGCTTCATGAAATCGAACTTCGTGAGCCACGATTCAACGACGTTCACAATAAAGGAGCAGCGCTGCTGAATCAAGGCCATCCGGCAATTCACGTCATTGAATTTTACTTGAATGCAATGCAGCGGAAATGGGATTGGCTATTGGCGCTATCGAAATGCCTTGAGCAACACCTCCGTGATGCGCTCAACCTTCACTCGGTATATTTTTGATTTGAAAAAAAAAAAGCTTCTGTGAGCGCGGAAATAGCGTACAGCCGAGTGCACGTTGCTATTTTTGGGAAGATTATGCATTGAAAAATAACAGTGCAGGCAGTTGGTGGATTAGCAAAATCATTGGCGGATCCAGGGAGCGATGGATGTTTCGCTCCAGGGGCACAGATAGCATTTCTTCTACTATAGAATAGAAGAGACTATAGAAAACTCTTTTCGGTATCTCCCGTCGCCCTCCCTCTCCCTCAGGAGGTCCACTTGCTTTTCTCCACCCGTCTGGCCCCTGCCGTCCTCGCAGTTTGGGGCCAGCTAGCGAGGGGAGGGG